AAACACAAATATCACCCCAATCAAAAAATAATATAAGAACACTGGGTGTGTTCTTTCCAACTCCTCCCAATAAAAACTTTATTTCAATTCTGAAAATCAAAATTATCTTGTGATAGCTTATATTTATCTTATTAAACTTTTACCCTCATATAAATTGAATCATGCAGTAGTATCTTTTGTATTTGGCTTTTTTATTCAATATTAAATTTGTGAGATCCACTCATGTTGTTGCCATGTAGCAGGAGTTCATTCACACACACTGAATAACTATGTGACTATGTCATAATTCAAATATGCATCCAAATTTTCATAATTTACTCTGAGGATGAAGTCATTAGAAAAAATCTTGCTAAGAATAATTGTGTTGTCTACCTTTAAATGAATAAGCATTGTGAGAATTACTGGATCTTGTACATCCTCATCACTCCCCAAATTTCCCCATGCTCCTTTGCTTCTGCCATTTCAGGAATCCACTTATTTAATATGTCCTGGGATTCTATGTAAATAACTCTTGTCTGTAGCATTTTTATTCAGAGATTCAGCTAGGTAGTTTATATACTGTTTAAAATTTTTAATTGCTGAAGAACATTTTATTGTTTGAATATACAAAAATATCCATTGACCTGTTGTTGATGGACATGAGTTTTTTCCCGTTTTGTTGGTGTGAATAGAGCTACTGTAAATACGCATATGTGAGTGTGTGTAATTTATCTCCCTTGCTAACTGCATGGTCATTTGGTACTTCTACTCCATTTAACTTGACAAGAAATTTCCACTTTTTCTTCTCATTGAGTTTATTGGTACATTTTAGGGATACAGTACAGTTACATTCATCACTGGGATCTTGTACCTTTACATGACAGGTCTTGGTTCTCATTTTTTCCCCATATCCCTGCCCTCCCTTGACCCCCTCCTCCCTTCCCTATTTACGAAAACTTTGTTTCCATTTTTTCATTTTCTCGTATTTTTTCTTTTCCTTTATTTCCTTTCCCCTACCCTTCTTGACCAAAATAGTTACAGAGGTTCATCTTCATACCAACAATGTATCATTGGCAACACATATTGTTACTTCACCAATCTAGTCCTCTTTGAGCAATATACGATTCTATGCTTAATTTGTTTTCTACTCATCCAAACAGCACGTTTGTGAATACAATATCCATATATGTGCAATGATTGAATTCAATATTTTGCTTTTAGTCCAATAACATTTTTATATTTTTAATTTTGATTAAACATGCATTTGTTAGTACAGCTGGATAGAATATATTTTATCTGAATGTATTTTATTTTATATATTACTTTATAACTTCTGAAAGTCTAGACATAAGGTGTGTTGACTTCCACTTTTCTTATTTCTTGGGGTCTTGAGACAGGTCTGTCAGGCAGAAAATGTTAAATATTTTGAAAAGTACAATAATTTTTCATTGTTTTTATTACATTTAATTATCCTGATAATCTCTTAAAGTAGATTCTTTTGCTCACAGAGGACTATTGGGGAATTAAGTATTACCTTGAGGTCACTACTAAAGGCCCAAGGCAAAAAACAAAACAAAACAAAACTAAAAAAATTAGGCTTCCTCCTTCACCTCCAAACCTCCTTTCTTCCTGTTGTTTAGGGACCTCACCCTCTCAGTGATCCACATGTGTCAAGAGGGCCACTGTAATCTCTAATGATTCTGATTGAACTCTTTGTTGAAAGCAGTACTTGGAGGTTTTATGGATTTGTCTTGGTATTCAATTCTCTCTACAGGATTTTGTCACCTAAGCAAGGCAAAAATGTGGGAGATTTTGAGTAATAGAATATTACTCAAAGATTATGATATTTTTCAGCCACACTCAATTTTCCACGTCAAAGCAGAAGTCAGCATATATCTAAAGGGAAGAATCAGTAATATAAAAAAATGAAAAATAATGGAAACAAAGTCTTTGTAGATAGGGAGGGAGGGGTTGAAGGGAGGGCAGGGGAATGGGGAAAAATAAGAACCAAGACTGATTATGTAAAGGCACAAATTTCCAACAATGAATGTCGTATTATATACATTAAATGCACCAATAAAATTTAAAAAGCAAGCAAACAAAAAACATGATGCTATACCATGTGGCTATCAAAAAGTTCCTCAAGTTTCTCTTTTCTCCCTGTAGGTTCTCTGCACAGGTCAAGCCAAATTTTCATTTCACACTCAGAATTTACAAATGCTTCAAGAAGAAAAGTGCCTGAAAATAACTTTCAGGAAGGATTCTTCCCTCACCTGGATTTAATTTCTGTGGTTCTCATTACTTATGTTCATAGTTGTTATATTTTTAAAGATATGCCTTTCAATCTATCCTTTAAAAAAAACACCACACACACAGTGTAGCAATGAACAAGTCAGCCTACCCTGACCTACCAGGTGCTACAGGAAAGTGCAAGTCCTATTCCATGCCTTCATTTCTAAGATTGACGTGTTAATGGCTAAAGAGCTTTGTAGTTTGGAATTTACAGGTTTCCTTTGCAACCTGATACAGTCTACTCTGTAAATATCCTTTGTGTTTGGAAACAACGCATTTCTGCATGTTATATGTGAAATTTTATACACATTTATGCTTTGAACATTTTATGACTTGTTTCTTAATTAGCTTACTTTGCCAGGGACTGTTCTAAGCAAAGTAAATGTTAATATAAGGTATAAAATATCTAATATATGAATTCTTTTTATAATTCTACAAGGAATGTGCTTCCCCACTTGTAGGTAAGGAAATCAACAATATACAGCTAGACAACATTCCCTAAGTTATATCAGGAGTGGTATCAAAATTTGAACCCACGCACACGCAGAACTTGAACTTGTATAAAATTCTAAGTTTAACTATTTCATTTTCTAAATCTGCTTTCTGTCACTCATAATTCAAAGTGTATCATCACCTAATTTAATGTATGCTAATCATAGCTAACATGCCACCATTTTTCTCCCTGAAGGCAGAAATATCTATTGTCTATCCTAATTTGAACATTAAAAAGCAAGTCAAAGTTTTAAAAAGTATCAATTTAATATTGAATATTTAGAAATATGGTACACACAGACACCATAGTAATATAAAATACATATAATTTTAAAACAACTTTCTTATGAACTTTTAACATGGTTGGCTGACAGCTTCCAACACATAAAAATTTGGACAGTTATCAGATAATTTTGGGGGAGTTCATTTTAAATACCATTTAAGTCATGCAATTAGGCTTTTTTAAAAAAATAAATATGACAAATATATGGATTTCTGAAGTATAAATTGACATACAAATCTATATATTTTAGTATTTTTAATTAAAGCATCTTTAAAGAAGCATTGTATAACATGAAGTTGATAGCTCAAATGAGAAATAATGAAAAGGCAGGGGGTTTTATCAGACTCATGTAATTCACTTATCAAGTATTTACAGAATAGCAAACACAAAATTGCAAAACAAAATTACGTATTCACTTTATTCTCCAGGAACTTCAGAAAACTATTTACTGGAATAATTTCAAGTTCCAAATGTTAATACGGAAACACACATAAGGGGCAACTTGAGAAACTTGATTTTACCTGCTAGGAATTAGTGAAGGAGTAAAATGACACTACTCCTTGGGGATTGTAAAAGCTTTGCTATAACTCCTGGGGAACAGAGTACTTTGCAAAAGAGTGAGAATTAAAACTCCATCCACTTACCAGTACACAAATCTGTGACAGACTTTCTTTTCTAAATTTAACAGATAATCACAATTCTGGAAACATGGTTTCCATCTCTTAAAAAAGAAAGCCCTCAAGGAAAAAATTCCATTAGTTTTCCTCACCTGAACAGTTTGAAGAGAGTTTTTATTTTGAATTCATGGACGAGACGCAGTAATCTTACACATAAGTGGATGGAACTTGAGACCTTCTTTCAAGGAATATTACTTATCAGAACATATTGCTTCATAGAACTTAAACCAACAAAACTAAATTGGGTTATATTCCTAATTTTAAAAATTACAAGATAGATTTTATTGAACTAATTTAGAGCAGTAATCCTTAATGACAAATCAGAATTAGAGAGAAGTACAGGAAAAACTTTGAAGCATGGCTCCATCTCCCAAAACTTCAGATTTGCCTAATGCAGCAGCTTTATTGAGACTCCTTGATTTGATGTTAATTAATGATGGGATGGGTTTGATTTAAATAAACTACTTCAAATTGAAATACATGAGTATTTCCTATGCGATAGACCCTACGTGCTAATAAGAATTTTCCATTAGAAATCATTGGATAACATTAATATATACTTTTATTGTGTCAATAGACAGAACAATTCATTAAAATATTACTCGAACTTTTATTATAGTTTGCTATCCTAAGATTTCCTATTACTTTATTGAACTGTCCTTCACTTGAAATTGTACCTGAAGAGATCAAACTCAGAAACTTGCTCAGAATATATGGAGAGAAAATAATAACATAATTTTATTTTTCAAGTCACAGTATATGAGGTATTCTCCACCTTATATATGAAGTCACAAAGCCATAATTTAAGAACTGAAATTAGATTCTCATGATCAACAGAATCTCTTGGGTGACACATTAATACCCTTGATATCAGTGCTTGCTTTAAATTGCCTTAAAAAAAAAAACAAACAAAAAACAGAGAAAGAAGGAAAGAAAAAAAGAAAAGAAAAATCTATGCCAGATCCTCTGGGAACTCAATAAGTCTAAGGTCTTTAATGCAGACCGTGTTTCTTGTGACCTATTTATAAAACACTTCTTAAAAATTATAGAAATATGGTTTCTGAGACATATATAGTTAGAAATTAGTTACCTCAAAAGAACCAAAAAAGTTTTTGAAATACTGTACAATTAGAAATTACTATCTCAAAATAATGGTTTGAGCTTTAACATTTTAAACTAAATCAATATCATTAGGTATTACAAAAATTCATTTGAAATATATCTTAACTCAAGAACAAAACATATTTAATAAATTTGATTTGTATCTACTTTTAACCTAACAGTTTCCAGATTTAAAATTGCCAAAACCACATGACAAATTTATTAATCTGATATTAGACTATTATTTCCATAACTGGAGAAAGGTCCAACATGACATGATTTTTGTTAAACTGTAATATATATAGCATATATATGCAAATACACTAGCAATTAGTTTTCCATACTTTATATAATTAAAATGGCTTTAAATTTTTATGAAAGCTCAGTAGTCAAAATAAATATTTAATAAAAATATATACCACAAGAAGATATTAAGAATTTAGTGTTAAAAATAAACTTTGTCACATTGTTTTGCCTTCAGTTAAACAGAAGTGAATTTAGTGGCTTAAGGTATCTAAGAATGATTAAACTATGATTTTGGAAACAGAAAATTAAAATTCAAATAAAATCAGAGAGTCAACACTAAGATGAAAGTTTTACTATGTTATTCCTTAAAAGTTTAACATTACCGAAACTTCTAAATATGACTATGCCCCTAAGAAACAAAAATTTGAAAGGAAAAGTCAAAGAATAGTCATGAATATGTAGATCATGTTGTGACACTTATGTGAAAAAGAAAAATAGTCATGAGCACCATTAGAAATGTGTATTTGTATGATATGTGTGTACAAACCTTACCTTGTTAAAAACTGCATTTTAGAGTTAAATTAAGGATAAGTATGCAATTATGAAAATACATTCTTAAGCTAACAGGTTATATGATCCATGTTAAAACATTTTACCCAGCATTCCTTCTAGAAAATCAAAGAATATAACATAAAGAAGCCAGTATTCTCTTGTAGTGCAAAATTTCTTGGTTTAACAGAAGAACTGCTGAAGAAAAAAGTGTCAGTAGGTGTTTTCAACCCATCACCAGGTTCCAAGAGGTAAGAGGAAACTGAAGTAGGTAATAAATGTGAATTCATAGAATAAAACAGTGTATGTTGGATATGTCCTCAAAGGATCATCATTTAGCCTCAAATTATTTTAAATTCAGAGTAGAAAAATTGTCTTGCCAAAAAAATTCTTCCTTATATAACAGAAGCTGAAAATTTGTCACCTGCAATTTGATATTTCTGCTATGTTCACCAAAACAACTTCTGCCATTATCTTGTATAATACATATCCTGGGTTAAGATGGTCTTAAACAAAAAATCTTACTTTGACCCCATGTAGAGGCACCATAAAAGTTACATGTCCATGATATTTTTCAAAGCTCTGAGTCAAGGAATCACATGATAAAGATTAAAGTCCTTTGATATCATTGTCACATGATGAATGCTATTCTCCATTTAAAATACGTTCAATCTCTTCTAGTCTTTTTAAAGCAGCAACTCTTTTCTTCTCAATTTCTTTGATGTCTTTTGTTTTTTGGGGTGCCTCTTTATTTTTCTGCAACTGTTTGTTGTGTTTAGACTCACTTTTATCTTCAGTTGTTTCTGTTGTCTGTGTTGGTCTAGACTCACTTCTAATTTCCTTTACATTTTCAGTTGGAATTCTGTTTTCTCCCTCTTCACCTGTACTCTTCCCAGCCGGGAGTACTGGCTGTTCTACAAAACCAGATGAAGAGATTTTATCCCTGACTATATTCAAATGGCGCTGAACATACTCTTCATGTGGTGCTAATGCCAATGTTTCAACCAAACATCTTTCTGCTTTTAGTAAGTCCTTCTCTTCAAAATAAACAACACAAAGATTGTGTTTTCCTTGGACATTGGTTGGATCCATCTCTAAGATTTTTTCAAAACATTTTTTTGCTCCAAGTATATCTTTCTTTTGGTTCATCAGAATGTCTCCTTTTAAAATGAGACCCTTCACATGGTCAGGGTAGTATTTGAGTAACTCTTCTAAAATCGGCAGAGCCTTTAATTCCTTTGCAGTCTGAGAATAGAGGAGAGCCAGATTGAACAAAGCACTTCTGAAGTCAGCTTGTAATTTAATGGCTTTCTTCATCCAAATCTCTGCTTCCGTGTCCTTTTTGTCATCCATGGCAAGCATCCCCAAATTGAAATAACCATTAGCATCCAGTGGCTCTTCATTCACATAGTTCAGAAGTCGTTTTCTAGCTTCCGGTCTGAGTTTAACTTCACCTAAAGATAGTTGCATTTTTAAAAGAAATAAGATATTATTATCAAATGAAGTAAGTTTGAGGAACAGAAACATTTTCAAACATTTTATTAGATTACAAGAAGACAAAACTGAAGCAACTAATTTCTGTGCCTAAATAAGAAAAAAGCAAAAAAAAAAATCTATCTTCACTGGAAAGACAATGTGTTTGAGACACAAAGACAGATCATTTTCTTCAATTTAAAACATTAAGAATGTTTCTGAAACTAAAAGGAGAAAAGTCTTATAGTTTATAACCTAGATAATAATAAAGGAAGAATAGAAAATTAAGAGGATGCAAACTTAGATTTCCTAAAAGACACTATTCAATCCTTTTTTATTTTTTGGTACCAGGGATCGAACTTGGAACCTTGTGCTTGTGAGACAGGCAGCAGCACTAATTGAGCTAAATCCCTAGCCTTGACACTATTCAATATTGATTCTGCTATGATTTTTGTTTGTTTGTTTGTTTTTTGTTTTTTTGTTTTCTGAGACAGGGTCTCACTATGTAGTTGAAACTGACCTGGAACTCACTATGTAACCCAGGCTAGTCTTGAACTCACAGCAATCCTCCTGCCTCAGCCTCCCGAGTGCTGGGATTACAGAAGTGCGCCACCATGCCTGACTGCTATGATTTTATATACTCAACAAGTTATTTAACGGCTCTGGGTTAATTTACTCAATTTTCTAAAAATTACGTGATATACAGTATGTATGTATGTGTATATATACATATATATTACAAGTAGTCATTATAATTGGAAAGCCAAATTTCAGAATACTGAATCAGATTTTTCTGGCATATAACCTCAAACTTTCTAGGGCAAAATATATCACTAACTTAAAAGTATAAAATTAAAATGTGAAAAATATTGCATTAATTTCTATTGCAAACAAATAATTTTTTTTTTCAAGTTCTACAACTACATGTTCTAGGGTATGATCTATACTGGAAAATAAATTTTTTTCATTATTATTAAGGTTAGATAACCTTACACAAATATTAGGTTTTTCCCTAAACATATGTTTTTGAAAATTAGGCCTAACAAACTCTCTCTCTTCTTTTAAGTGACATGAGGAGTAAGAAAAATTTAAAATAAATCGGTTGGCTTCAGCTTTTCTTTTGGACTAGCTACTAAAGCAGTCATACAAAGTTAGGGTAGTCTTTAGATGTACCGGGACATACTTTCTAACCTACAAGGGAGCAAACTGGTAAAACAAACTCAAAGGTCCTCTTTAGCTCTAAAATACTGTAATCTTTATGATTTGTTCAGTTTTTGCAAATGTTTTAAGAAAGGTATCTAGAAATTAACTAGATATGACTAGATTTTCCATCATAAAAATTACAAATTATAATTGCGTAACTGTTTTGTGAGTGAAGTACAGTCCTATACATAATATGGTTCAAAGATACAGATTTACTGATTAATGACTTAGTTTTGCTAAGTTATAGAAAATTACAATATTTCAAAAAACTTAGTAAATCTAGATATAAAAAGATTTATCCAAAATATTTTCTTGTAAATCAAAGGAAAATATAATACTTAAAAAATCATTTTCCTGATTCTTTAGAGCTAATTATGGAAACTTTTACAAGTTCATATTATTTAGACAGTATATTTAATAAGAAAGAAGTTACATTTATATGCATAACCTGACATAATAAATAGGTATTGCTTAACGGAATGCCTGAAAATTTAGTCTTAACACATGTGAATAGAGTGAATGATTAGTACTCTCAAATTTTAGTGAATGTTACTTGAAGAGTTTACTTCAAGTATTTTAAATATTCTTAGTATAAGTTATTTTATCAGCTACTTGCAGCTTTTATTTATTTATTTATTTATTTATTTTTGGTACCAGGGATTGAACTCAGGTCTTTGCGCTTGCAAGGCAGGCCACTAAACCACTGAGCTAAATCCCTGGCCCAAGCTACTTGTGTTTTATAAACTAGCCATCCATAAAATGTTTGCTATGGAAAATAAAGTCTAACTTAGGTTTTACTATATACCAAGTTACATTTGAATAAACACAGCATTAGTTTAAGGAAACACACCTGATTCCTGCATTAATATGGCAGAATTAAATAATGCTAGCTTATGCCTTGGATTTAGTGCTAAAGCATGATTGAAGTTTTTTAGGGCTTCATTTGGTTCTCTGAGTTCAATATACACAATTGCCAAGTTGTACCAAAGATCTGCATTGTTTCTGTCCAGTTCTAATGCTTTAAGATATGCTTCCTTTGCTTTGAGAGGCTTATTCATTTTTAAGAGCAATTCTCCCCTGTGGAAAAATCAAACATACCATTATTTTGTTAGTTTGTAGAGCATTTGATTAAGTTTTAAGACTTAACATATAGCTCTTTTCCCTTTTAAAATTTGACTCTCAAAAGTTCTTTATTAAAAAACTGTTTGTAATTGCCCTCAAATCTGTAAATTTAGCTTGATACTGTTTCAAAATTCCTAAATGCAGAAAAGCACATATTCATTTAGGCAGGATGTAGGGAGGTATCCAAGAAAAGGGGAAAGAAAAAAAATTTATTTTTTGAATATATCTTAAAAGGACACAGACTAACACCTGAATGAGGAAAATGACAATCACAGTGGAACACTGGTGAATCTGTCAGGTGATAGAGCATTACAAGAAAAAATATACAGAGTGGAAATTACCATCTTTAAATCTGTGATACAAGTTTAACTGTACAAATCAGCAGAACATTTGCTATATGATAACAAATAAAAAGAGTAATTAAAAAACCAGATCTGGTAGGTAGGAGGGCAACAGTGCCATCTGAAGATAGCTTTAAGGATTACATCTTGAATGGGGGATTAGTTTGAAAATCACTGTATTTTTCAAATACGGTTACATTAGCTGTTAAAGAACTTTAAAAACTTATTTTGCTTAAAGGATATTTTTACTTGACCAGAGTCATAGTAAGATGTAAGGGCACATATTTTTATCCCTTTAGAGGTTTTTATAATCTTTTTTAAAAAGTTTCCTACTTGTCTTAAATATTTGCCATAAATAAAACATGTATTTATTTGTCCTTAAAAAAATGTTTTTACTAATATTCTCTTTTAAACTACTAAGAGTGAATTTAAGATGTTATTTTTTTTAAATATAGAGATTAGAGAATGATTCTGGATTAGCAAATGACATAGAGTTCTGGGTAAAGCTAAAAAAAGACAACCAATTTAAGAACTTATTTTCTCTCTTAGAAAGTTAAATCTTGAATACACTCTCCCCATATAAACAGTGTTATAAATTATGATTTGGTTTCCCAGCCAGGGTACAAAACAAAATTTAACAAACATTTTTCTTCAAGTATGTAAATTATATTTACATGAGAAAATACATCAGTGATACCAGAAAACTTTTTTGTTGCTAACCAATATGTTTTCTTTATGGCAAAGACATCGATAACCAGTCAACTCTCAAAATTTATTTAAGAATGCTCCCAAGAGTTGGGGAAGAGAACAATGTAAGCTCCAAATGTTTAAACAGGAAAAAAGAAAACGGCTTTGATGATCAGAAGTAAACTAAGAATGAGCTTCTCTCCTTTCTTTCACACACAATCTATGTTGGCGATGGCAAATTCCCTTGTCAATTTCAGTTCAACTAAGTTTGTCAGTGTAAAACAAACTATAATCTTCTATGGACTTGGTTACCAAGTAAGATTAGTATAAGAAAAAAAATGACCAGTCAATAGGTACATGCAGATGAAGCTTCAGTTTTCTACAACGATATCTCTAACGTGAACTATGATACCTGCTAATATAAGCCTGCTTGAAGTCAGGCCTCATGCTGATTGCTTGTCGGTACAGCTGATCTGCTTCTTCTAGTCGGGACTCATTTGCTCGGATCAGGTTGGCCAGATTGATATAAACATTTAGGTGGTTAGGGGCAATTCTGGCTGCATATTTTTTACCAGGAATAATCTGTTTAGAAGAAATGGTGTTGTTGTACTTAGATGTTTTAATACTAAACAAGAATTAAAAGTTAAGTTTTCCTAGTAGCTTACTTAAAATAACATAAAACACAGAGACTATAGTACTAGCTTTACTAATAGATAAAAAGAATATAAAATGCGAAAGAAAATGGAGTATTCATAAAAAGTAAATATACTTTATGACCTTACAGGACATATTTTTTCACTCATGCCAGCTCAATAAACTACTGCTGGCTCATTTATACTTATCTTCCTATGAAGTCAGGTTAAATCAGAACTTTTAAAGGCTAAGGTCTCTTAGTCTCCATCACAGCATTTCATGCTGTGATCAAAATATTTCCTTATTGTGAGAGAAGGGCATTTAATTTTATTTTGGCGTTATATAAAAAACTCACTTGCTTGGTAAAGTTAGGAAATAAAATGCTCTTATTTTCAGGTTGAATAAAGATGATTATATATAATATACATGGATTCAAATTTTTAAGGACTACAATAAACTATATGATAGAAACCTAAGATAAATATAATTTAACTGTACCATTTGGTATGAAAATAATAGGCCATCAAATAGTACAATTTTGTTTTTAGAAATGATATGAAATTACCCCATTATTACTACTACTATTATTATAAATATTGTTATAATTGAGAAATCTGTAGCTTGGGTTAAATTATCTTTTCTGATGACACAAAGATGATAAGGGACAGGATTAATCTTTTATTTTTGATATTGCACTTGTTATATCTGATGAATCTTGTACTTGTGCCATAACAACAACTGATTAATGCAACATAGCAAGAGAAATACGTCCACTATTTTATCACTATGTCCATTTTTTTAGATAGCAATAACATTAATTTAGTGCTTAACTACATAAATGAAATTTTTATTTAAAGTTATTTCATTCATGAGAATAAAAAAATACCTATTGTTCGGGGCTGGGGATATAGCAAAAAAAAGTGCGTGTATAACACATACATGTGTGTGTAGGGGTGTGTGTGTGTGTGTGTGTGTGTGTGTGTGTGTTTATATATATATTTACTGTTCACATTCTAAGATTAAGTATTTACAAATGGGTTACACAAAATAATTTTTTAAAAATTACATGAGCTAAAAACGTAAATGTATACTTACAATGATTGCAGAAACAGAATGCTCATTAGACACCCTATTTTTACATCAACAAACTGAAGGATTTTTCTATCTAGATGATCCTTCTCAATATGGATGTATAGTAGGCACAACACAAGATACATTCTGACAACTTACTTGAGGCATCAGTGACTTGGCCATCACGTAAGATTCTTCAGCTTCTTTAGTTCTATTTAAATTTTTATAAGTTCTTCCTACATTCATGTGGGCACCAATATCATCTAAAATTAGAAATAAAGCATTTGTTGGCAATGATATTAAAGAGTATTCCATGTAAAATACTAAAATGTGCTTCTAGAAACAAATATGCTAGGCAAAAATACAAAAGCAGAAAAGAATTCCTGCTTTCTCTTTGAAGTTCTTCTTATACAACTTGTTTTAATGGAAGACCAATGATACACTATGACATTACTGAAAGCACCGCAAAGACAGAAAACACACATGACATGAAAAAGCTATCGGAATGGATCTTTGAAGGGCTAAGTCATATGAGAAGGTAGAGGTAATGATGATATATCTCTTCTATTCATGATATTTTACTATACTAGGCCTTATTCCCATTTTCTTAATCTCATACCTTTGGAATTCAATTAAATAATGTAGCTCATTTCTACAAGAAAAGAGAACCATCATTATTCCTAAAACTAGAGTGAAAGGATAATACCAAAGAGATTATGAAAAAACTTTGTGATTTACTTTTTAAAAATTGTTGTGAATGTGACTGGAATGAGATTACATGTAATATCAGGATAATAGTACTATGTAAGATTTTTGGCCTTTCTCTTAAATGATGATATATTCCTAATGTAATTTATCTATTAAAAATGTTGTGTTAATATTAGAATGTCAGGAACTTGTATCTCATTTTCTAATGTAGAAAATAAAATTCCCAGCAAACTTTTCAGGCAAAGACAAAATGCAGTATAAATAAGAAAAACGTACACTAGTTTTGTAAAAGATATACTCCCCAATAAATATTTCAAAGGTTTAAATAATGATAATAGGAAGAGAGATGTTAAATCAAACAGTTTTTATTCAACATAAATATCTAACAAACATGACAAGTTTCACATTATGATTGCTACTTGCCTGCAACACTGATGATTTTGCAATTGTGGAATAGAAGTTCTCTGACTGCAACTCCCAGGGCACATAGGGGCAAGCATATATAATCCTGGGTATTCCCCTAGGAGGAGACCAACAGTCCTAAGATCTTGCTACATTATGTCTCAGGCTACCAACTGTGTGCATTACAAAAAACTGGCAGATGTAGTGTAATTTTGGTTAGAGAATTAAGGGACAAGGTTAGGGATAAGGGAGTTGAATTTTTTTCTTTATAGATGTGTGGCTCGATTTTATGGAGTCAGGAGGGCATCAAGCAAAAACAACAGAAAAGAGCTTAGGCTGGCTACAAACCAGAATACTTGTGCAGTTTTAAAAATTCAGACATATTAACATCACCAAGCTCCATCAAAATAGAATTTTCAGAAATAAAATTTGCAAAAGATGTGCTATTAAAAAGTTTCATAGGGAATTCTGATGTAGAACCATGGTTGAAAAAAAACAAATACATTGCCAAATGCATATAAAAATACAGAATAGGTAATCCTTGCCTTTACAGAACTGAATTTAATTTTTTTATATCAACTAAATCTGTAAGGTTTGTTATAGAGTTGAGAAACTTAGAAAGAACTAATATATAGAAGCTAAAAAATTTTAATATACAGTTGAGAATTTAAGCTGACAAAATATGGATAAATGAAAATATAATTATGTCCACCATGTGTTTAAAATGTCGATGCAATCAATCAACTCCAAGAAAGGTTTGAGAAGAAAGAGGTTGTCTATTTAGAGAAAACATGAGCCAAATTACTACTCAATAAAATCAGGGCTTAAAACTATGGCAAGAAGATATTGTCATCAATGTAGACTTCAGACATCAGAATAAAGTAGCTCCACTTTCCCAAAGAACAAAGGTAGCAATCAGACATCTTTCAGCATCAAGAGAGTTACTCAATATAAATAATAAAATGTGATGCAATTTCTAAGCAATTTGTTATGAGTTACAAAGTTATTTCAAAGGGGTAAAAAAATACAAAATTACTTTTTAGGAAAATTTAAATTTTAAGAGATAAGAAAAGGTGACATGATGAAAAAATTGACATTTGCATCTAAAGAGCTAAAGAGAATTTCAAACAAGTCTGTTTTTATGAGTACCCTAAACCAGCAGCAGGATTTGAGCAGTTTGCCTTTAATTCAATGTAAATGAGGATCTCAAATGTCAACTCACTCTCAGTCTGTCAATAATTTATTTCTCATAAACTCATTTTTCTAGAACTCTTGTTGAGTATTTTATTTCTGGTCTCTGCTAAAACCTCTAATATCTTTTTATTTTTGTCATGGAAAGGAGATCATGATGGACTAAGGCTTCCCCACTGCCACCCCAAGCCAGAGCTACCATCTTGGATGGGAGCTGGACTGCCCCCTAAGTGACAGTGGCTCTCCCAGAACCTGGAAGAACCAGTCCTGAGATATAGATCCACAAGATTATTACTTGACCAGGATCACCTATGCTGCCAAACCCCACAGCTACACAAACCCTTAACTCTTGCCTTTGTTCTTCTATAAAACCCCAAGCTTCTGTCAGCCCTCCAAAGACACATCTTGAATCTCTTTATTTATTCTTCCCAGAATGACTATGATTAACTAAAGCTCCTTTGCTGTCCTTCACTGATGCTCATCTCCTTGACTGATGCTAAGGAATAACAGGCCAGGCATGGTCTGCTGGGATCCCTAGAGCTAAGGCTTTTGTCCTAAAACTGGTAAAATAAATACACAAGATTGTGCAAATTACAGGTACGTGTTTATTAATGTGTATCTGTTTATTGTCTATAATCAGGAAGACTAAATATCCAATCCCAAATACATTTTGGGGCATATTTTTAGTTATCTGATTATTCAAAGAAATTGAAGACTTCTACAGGCATTCGGACAGCTATAAAATGATGTACTTTTATAAAAAGAAACTAGTATCTATCTATATTAGTAAATAGAAGATAGCAGATAGCTTTTTAATCTGACATCCCTTTTTGCCAAGGAATGATCTTTTTACAGAAAGAAGAGATAGGGGTCTGATACCTGCAAAGAGACAGAACACCTCAAGTGGCTGCTACCTGCGAAACTTCTGCATAACAAGACAGCCCCTTGCTCACTGTGTATCTCCTCACCGGAAGCTTCATTCCCTCCATAAAGTACAGACCTCTCTTCCTTTGTTAAACTCTGTAACAAGATTCAATTGTTTTGCCCCTCTCTAAATCTCCCACTGTGGGTATGACTCTCATGCTTAGGCATGCAATAAGATTCGTACGTTCTTTGTTTACTTATAAGACCAAAATTACCAAAATTTCAGAGAAGAGTAAATTTAAAACACTTCTACGGTATAGGAGCTTCATGAAGACAGAAACATTGTTTTATTTGCCAATGAATACCCAGCAGGTTAAACAGTGCCTGGCACATGGTAAATTCTCAAATTCATGGTCAGTGACTAAAAACCTATGGGGCCCTTTGCTATTCATTCTCTTGTTAGCCTTCTTGGCCATAGCTTAGATCTGGCCCACAGGACCATGTTTTAAAGGTTTGGCTGCCAACGTAAGGCCCTACTGGGAGCTGGTGGACCTTTGGGGGTGGGGCTTAGTGGAAGGAAGTTGGGTCATGACACTGTGCCCCTCAGGAGACAGTGAGACCATGGCCCCTTCCTCTCTAATTCCTGGTTGCCATGAAGTGAGCAGCTTCCTCTTCATGTGCTCCCATCATGACGACTGCCTTACCACGAGTCCAAAAGCAACAAGCAAACTGTGGCCTGAAATCTTAGAAACTGAGCTAAAATAAACCTTCCCTCTTTTTAAGTTATTAATCAAGAATGTGTTATAGTTATGAAAAACTGATTAACATTTCCTGTATCTTACATTTCTACTTGCCTTCTCTTTTTCTAGTTTCACTAAAAATGTTATATTTACCAGTTTATATTTATTGAGTATATACTATAAGCAAGAAACTGGCCTAAGTCTTTTAAAACCAGTATTTAAGTCAATCTGTACAAAAGAACAGAGACTATTATTTTTCAGAACTTATAGACAGAAAATGATGTGATTAAACTGGATAACATTCAGACCAAATTTTTAACTATTCATAACATCATTTATCACTTTTTAGCACTATCCTGGTCACTTTCTCCTCTCTTCCAAAACACAGTGATGATACAACAAGATGTCATGGCATTACATTTGCCAAACTTACCTACGAACATAGCAAAAAACCCCAAGGAACAAGTTTAGAAGCATCTTAATATCATAATTAATGTTTCTAAATTTATTTGCTTTATTCATAATCAATTATAATAAACTTTATAGCATCCTATTCTGGATAACTAGGAATAGTAATTTTGAATATGTGACATTTAAGTAATGTTTAAGGAGATAAGTTCAGCAAGTACCTAACATAGTAATAAGTGATAATTGACAACAATAGGGAAAACTTTAAAAGTGAGTGGCCCTATCTATAACATCCATGACACATACTGCTTAGATGAAATATGTATATATATATATATAAATTTCTAAATTTTTATTAATATGTATTTTCCCCTTTCTATTTCACATTGTCCATTATATCATTAGGATCTTATGTACTATTGTAGTTTATTCACACCAGAGAAACTATTTGGTATTAAGGTGTAGGGAAAGTGGGAAGGGTAGGGGAAAGCTAATAAGGGAAAAGAATAAAATACAAGAAAATGAAAAAATGGAAATGAAGTGTTTGTAAGGGGGGAGGGGAAGAGGGGGTGAAGGGAGGACAGGGACAAGGGGAAAAAATGAGAACCAAGA